AGGCCCAACTCAGCATGTAAAAATATTGCTTCAAGGGCGGTCGTCGCTAAAAACAAAAACTGCCTCCCAGAGGCCCCCAAGAGGCCTCGACGCGCCCCCCCGAGCGGCGAGGCAATTACGGGCCGGCGAAATGAGCGAAACGATTAAATAATTTGGACGAGGCCCCCCCACTCACCCGGGACAAGGCACCACATGCTAATGCAAGAGGGGTGAGTTGAGAGCCAGGGTGAGAGAAACATGGAGTAGGCTGAGGAGGATTATGCATACACACACATATATATATATAACTATATATATATATATAAATGTAAGTGTACATAATCATTTATATGTATATGCATATATACACATATATGCATAAAAATGTATATGCATACTTACAACACATGAGTTATCATGTGAATCAGCTCGTCTAGGCTCGGTGATATTTGCGCGCGGTTATCCCAGCCACTTTCTTTCGGCCAGCTCCCTTGTAATTAAAGCCATGGCCTTTGAGGGCTCGCCCGACGAGCTCGAGATGGAGCTTCTCAGTCTCATCGGGGAAGGAGTTTCATCAGTTCAACGTTTTGCCCGATTGTGCTCAGCAATTGCAGATCGTTGCACTGGAGTTCCTTTGCGCGCGCAGCAGCTCGCGACGACCCCGCCAGATTGGCACGCTGAGCGAGCGCTGCACAGATGGGTATCAAGACAACCCTGGCGCGAGTTGCCCCCGCAGGTTTTTGAGATTCAAGTCGCTGCTTCCAGCGATGGCGCTCATGAAACAGTTCGCACGCACCATGCCGTTTTACCTCATGAGACGTTCGCGAGTTTGCACAAGCAGGTGGATCTTTTCAACCACATGTTCGTTGGGGGGCCTGGCCGATTAGAAGCTTTCTGGCAGCGCTCGAGGACGGGTTCTTCTAAACATCCGCGCCTCGCGGACCAAGGGGGAGCGGAGAAAGGAGGGGGTGGGGAAGGAGGCATGACAGGAGCTCGGGAAAGAGGGGGGGGTGGGAGAACATAGTTTGGAACCCGTCCTCGAGGACCACTCCGTGGTATCAAGAGCACCCTGTTTTAGATATTCGAACGTCTCCGACCAGCTGCGTGCCAATTGGTATCTACGGGGGCGACGCAGGAGTTTTCAACCACGATTCTCATGCTTCTGCGGGGCGGGACGATTGAAAACCATGAGACTATCTTTTTCTAGAATCGTTTTCACGGAGGTGCAGTATTCAAAGATCGTTCCAGATAAGACATTGGACCAAATTTATGAGGTTCTCGTGTGGAGCCTAGAATGGCTCGCGATCGGTGAATACCCCCCCGTGGACCATCGAGGCAGACAGTTCAATGCAGAATACGAGCCAGGGCGGGCAGCTCTAGCTGGCAAGCCCTTGGCAGGGGGACACCGGGGAGCGTGGTCGGAGATGCGAGGAGATTGGAAATACATGCAAGAAAGTTTGAAGTTGGCCAGGAATTGCAATACCAATGAATGCTGCCACCTATGCAAAGCTCATAAGCGGACAGGCCGTCTGCTGTTCACTCAATTTTCATCTCGCCCCCGTCTGCGCAACACCCTCATGACGAATCGGAATTTCATGAGAGAGCAACGGGCCCATGGCAGCCCTTCCCCTTTGCTCCGAACTCCTGGTTTCCATGTGTGGAGGGTTTGGGTTGACCCTCTGCGCGCTTTGGATCTCGGCGTTTACCAAGTTGCAGTCGCATCGTGTTTGAGGAAACTCGTTCTGGAGGGAACCCGGGCCGGAAACAATCGATCGGGGAGGTTCTATATGGCCCATGCTGACCATGAGGCGCGGCGCAGAGCCAAAGGCATTCAAGCATGTCCGAGATTCGAAGAAATTTCTCCATCGTGGTGACTGGGTGAAGCTTACACAGCAGATGGCAAAAGGTGCTCAGACTTTGCAGCTGGTTCGGTGGCCCCATGACGCATGCCTCCGCCCCGGGGCTTCGGTAGGAGATCGCGGCGAGCTCAGGCTGGCACTGCCGCGCAGCGCAGTAACGTTTGAAAACGTTTATCGTGACAATGAGCGAATTATTCCTGCTGCTGAGTTGATTCGCGCGCAAGAGGCCACTGAAGACTTCTCGGCTTGTCTGAACGCCCTGGCGACCGAGGCAGTGATACATGATAAATGGACGTGGCGCATCACCCCCAAAGCACATGTGGTGTTGCACATGGCGCTGGACTTCGCTCCCCAAGCAAACCCCCGCAAGACACAATGTTATTCGGATGGGGACATGGTTGGTAGAATGAAGCGTATCATATCCCGATGCCATGGCATGACAGCAGCTGCCATGGGCCTGCTGCGTTATGCCATCCTTGCTGCCACAAGGTGGTGGCAATTGCTTGCTCAGTTGCGTGGACTGTCGTAGCGCTGACACGAAAGAATCCAGCAGCTGCTTCGTCGAGCGCAGGGCCTTTGCACAGACGCACATAGACAGGGCGCAACACGCGTGCCCATATTGACCAACAAATTCGGGGAATAGGCAAACATACAAATACTATATATATATATATGCATAGAGAGGGCGATCGAAAATCACACAACAAAATCGGCCAGTATAGCCACTAAAGGGTCAACCCCGAAAGGGTAAACGATATCATACGCAAGATGGAGAAGGAGGAGGGGGGGGAGGAGGTGGACGGGGGAGGAACGAGGCGGACGAGGACGACGAGGACGACGAGGGGACAGGGAGAAACCATGCGGCAAATCACAGCAAGCGGCCGATAGTTCACGCAAACAAAGAAAGCGCGGAAGCTCTCGACAACCACATTGCAACTGCTGCTGCTGCTTCGGGCCTTCCTCTTCTCTTCCCCCCCTGCCTCTTACGCCATCGGCATATACAAGGCGAAGGCCCGCGCGCGCCGCCGCGCAGCCTCCTCGCCCCCCCCCCCGCGGCCGCCCGCTTGCCCCCGCCTCTGGCGGCGGAGGAGTTGAGGATTTAAGTCCGCCCCGCCCCCCCAAACGAGCCCGCCCGAAAGCGCGGGGGGCGACGCCCCCCGGCGCCCCTACAGGCCCGTTGGCATTAGCAGGCGGCCAGGGGAGGTGGAGTTGGGCACCCTCTCCCATTTGTGCCGATCGTTCGCGGGGTGGCGGCCGCGACGCCTCGCTCGCAGGGTGGCGGCCGTGACGCCTCTTTCGCAGGGTGGCGGCCGTGACGCCTCGTTCGCAGGGCGGCGGCCGTGGCGCCTAGTTCGAAGGGCGGCGGCCGCGACGCCTCGTTCGCAGGGTGGCGGCCGCGGCGCCTCGTTCGCAGGGTGGCGGCCGTGACGCTTCGTTCGCAGGGTGGCGGCCGTGGCGCCTCGGATACCCGTATGCGCGTAGACCAGGATATACATACGTATACTCGTATATGCCTACACATAAACATAAAATATCCGTTATAGGCTATTCATGGTGTATCTATATATATATATGATGTATGTGCGAGTGTGAATGTGTGCGTGTGTACTGTGTGCGCACTGTGTGTGCGTGTGTTTGCGTGTTTGCGTGTGTGTGCGTGCGTGCGCATGTGTGTGTGGATGCGTGTATGCGCGTGTGTATGTGTGCTTGCGCGTGTGTGTGTGTGTGTGTGTGTGTGTGTGTGTGTGTGTGTGTGTGCGGGTGTGTGTGTGTGCTTGCGTGTGTGTGTGTGTGTGTGTTTGTGCGTGCGCTGGTGCGTGCGCGCGCGTGCAGGTGCTCGTGTGCGTGTGCGTGCGCGTATGAATGTGTGTCTGTGCGTGTGCGTACGTGCGTGTATGCATGTGTGTGTGCGTGTGCGTGCGTGCGTGCGTGTGCGTTGCGTGTGTGTGCGCGTGCGTGCGTGACCGCGTTTGTTGGCCCAGCGCGTCGCCGAACGAACGCTCGCTGAGGAACAGCGCGCGTGTGTGAGGTGGCGCGCGCGCTGGTGCGCGCGCGCGCAGGTCTTCGCGCGCGCGTGCGTGTGCGTGTGCGCGCGCATTTGCATCTAGCGCGCCCCACTGATATAACCTCAGCCCAGCCGCCGACGCAAAACATGTGTACGTGTGTGTGTGTTTGTGTGTGTGTGTGCGTGCGCGCGTGCGTGCGTGCGTGCGTGCGCGTGTGTGTGTGTGTGCGTGTGATGTTGTGTGTGTTGCGTGCGTGGGTGTGAGAGTGCCTTAAGTTGCCGAGTAGCCATTTTGGCTCAAACCATGGCGCGTGTGTGTGCGTGCGCGTTTGCGCTTTCGCTGCCGCTCGGTGCCAAGCGCCCCTGCGGCGATGGTTCGCTTGTCCGCCGCGGTTTCGCTCGCGGCTTCTGCGCGCAACTGCCCCCCATGCTGGGTTCAGTTGCAAAACGCAAGAGCGAGTGTGCAATCGCGCGCGGGGGCGCGCACACGTCCTGGTTTCTGGCGCGCCGTGGGCGCGAAGTGTTTTGCATGTCCCGCGCGCATATGCGCGCGGGGCGAAACCGAAAAAACGCATTGCAAATTTGAGAAGTCAAAATGACACTGCCAGAACAGGATGCCACAAAAACTGGTTTCAGCATTTCGCCCCCCGGATTGTGACACTTCGGGGCCTCCTGGTGGTTCTTTGTCCTGGAAAACAACCCCGCGCAGTGTCTTCGGTGAGTTCCCGCGGGGCCCTCGCGGGGCCTGACAGTTTTCATTCGGCAGCCTGTCCGAGGCAGCAGTTTGTGAGGACGGTACTTGTAGCGCGGATTTTCTGAGGAGCGCAGCATTGAGGATGGACGCAGGGCAAGCCATTGCTGGAGGGTACTGCGGGTTTTCTGAGGATCAGTTTCTGAGGGCGGTAGGAGCTCCAGTGAACGCGCATAGCACGGACACGCGACCCTTGCATCCTCGCCTCTGCGGCCCGTCCTGCAGCGCTTCCCTTGCAGAAGAATCGCGACTTCGGCCTCCCAGGGTCTTGCGTCCTTACCACCTGTCTTTACTACGCGTTTTGATTGTGCGAAACAAACCACAAACTAACAACCCGCAGCCTTTTTGAGGCCCAAGCCCACGTGAGCTCCAGCTGAGCATCGGCGCCCACCTGAGATATCCAGAGATGGCCGCCCCCGTGCCAACATTTTCTGAGAACCTGGCGTGGACGGCTGAGAGCACCGGGTACTCGGCTGAGAAGATGGGCCACCTGAAGCTCCGCGCCATGAAGGGCTATCCCCTGAGCCACGAGGTCTGCCGCCTGATGATGGAGCAATTCCGTGAGTTCGACTACAAGGGCGACGCCACCTGGCCCGTGAGACAGCTGAGGGACTTGGCAACCTACTGGGCGAGGCGTTTCCCGCTCTTTGTCGTGCCACAGTGTTTTTTATATAAAAAAGGAGGTCATGATGACCACGTACTCGGGCATGCTGAGCGGCCAGTACCGCACCCGCACGAACACTCTCGTTGAGCCCCCCATGAGCCAGGAGTTCGTGTATGAGAGGGTCCAAGCCGCGGCCGGGGTGCTCATGTGGGAGGCCCTGAGGCGCCACTTGTGGTCGAGCGCGCGGAATCCCAAGATGAGGAAGAATGCCGTGATGATCCTGGAGTACTTGAAAGTCGCTGAGGAGGCGGAGCACGTCTGCTACAAGCTCGTGGTCCCGGCAACTGAGCAGCTCCTGCGCTTCAACACTGATGAGCTCTACACCGCTGAGCCCCCGCGCCAGCAGCTGATTGGTGAGGTCTTCTGGCTCGGCCCTGAGCTCGATGCACTCGTTGAGCCCATTCAGAACGCCATCCAGATGAGGATTGCGGCGAGGCACCGTGAGCTCCGGGCTGAGCTCTTCCCGGGCGAGGGCGCGCAGGCTGAGGGCACCCGGGCGCAGGCTGGCGACATGGACGTTGGCACGCCGCGCTGAGGCTCTGAGGCGCTCCGAGGCTCCTCGTCTGCGGCCCCCCCTGAGGCGCTCTGAGGCTCTGAGGCGGTTTGATGCCAATCCTGCCTTTTGCGAGGCCCGCCCGTGAGTTTCGCGCCACTCTGGACCGCTGAGCGCTGCGCGCTGAGCGATGACGCATGCCCCTTGAGGCCCCTCGGCGGCCTGAGCAAAAATTAATGCTCCTCTGGGGCCCCTCGGCGCCGCTTCCGAGGGAGGAGAGGGGGGATCTTCTGAGGGGGGGGCTTCGGAGGGAGGAGCTTTTGAGGGAGGAGCTTCTGAGGGGGGAGCTTCGGAGGGAGGAGCTTCGCAGGGAGAAGCCTCGGAGGGGGGATCTTCTGAGGGGGGAGCTTCGGAGGGAGGAGCTTTTGAGGGGGGGGCTTCTGAAGGAGGAGCCCCCGAGGGAGGAGCTTCTCAGGGAGGAGCTTCGGAGGGAGGAGCTTCGGAGGGAGGAACTCCTGAGGGAGGAGCTCCCGGGGGAGAAGCTCCGAGGGGGGAGCTGCTGAGGGCGGGGCATATCAGGTTTTCCTGAGGCTTTCCTTAGGTTTTCCCCTGGTTGTCCTTAGGTTTTCCTTGGGTTGTCCTGAGGCTTTTCCTTTGGTTTTCTGTAGGTTTTCCTCAGGTTATCCTTAGGTTGTTCCTTCGGTTATCTTTAGGTTTTCCTTGGGTTGTCCTTAGGTTTTCCTTAGGTTGTCCTAAGGTTGTCCTTAGGTTTTCCTTAGGTGTTCCTTAGGTGTCCCTTAGATTTTCCTTGGGTTTTCCTTAGGTTGTCCTTAGGTGTTTTTTGGGTGTTCCTTAGGTTTTCCTTTGGTTGTCCTTAGGTTTTCCTTAGGTTTTCCTTGGGTTTTCTTTAGGTTGTCCTTAGGTTTTCCTTCGGTTTTCTTTGGGTGTTCCTTAGGTTTTCCTTTGGTTTTCCTTAGGTGTTCCTTAGGTTGTCCTTAGGTGTTCGTTAGGTTGTCCTTAGGTTTTCTTTCGGTCTTCCTTAGGTTTTCCTTGAGTGTTCCTTAGGTTTTCATTCGGTTTTCCTTAGGTTGTCTTTCGGTTTTCCTAGGTTGTCTTTACGTTCTCCTTAGGCAGTCGCACATTTTCTTTAGGATGGATAAATCGAGGATGAAGTTTCTCACGGTCCTCGCGGGTTCCCTCCCTCCCCGTGGGGCCCGAGTTCCACACGGAAAACAAGATTTTCCATTATTGCTGGGGTCCCAGTCCGTCAATAAACCCGCGGGACAACCATATATTTGCGCACTATTGGGGGGGGGGGTCAAAAGACCCTGTGGGGTTACCCAGGGTCACTCTTGTGTGCAGCCGAGTTTTCTTGGATCACATCCTGCCCCCCGCGTAGTAACAGTCCATCACCCTCCTGAAGCAGGGGTTGCTTTAGATTCCGCGATTCCGCTGTTCTGCCCGGACCGCGTGCGGGGACATTGGCACCACACAGGGCCCCACCCAGACTAGGCCTATCCAGGAGTTTTCGGCTGCCCAGCTTACCAGAGGGGGGGGGGCGGCTCGATGGGGGGGAGGGTGCCCGTGAGGTCAGGAATGGCGCCGGCGCCGCCCGGGCATCGTGACGCTACTGGAGGGGCATCCCCAGCAGCGGGCCCTATCAAAGTCTCACTGAGGTGCAGGGATTAGGACGTGGGCGCTAGGGGAGGAGGAGGAGAAGGAGGAGGAGGAGGAGGAGGAGGAGAAGGAGGAGGAGGAGGAGGAGGAGGAGGAGGAGGAGAAGGAACACGACGTGGAGAGGAGGAGGAGGAGGAGGAGGAGGAGGAGGAGGCGGAGGAGGAGGAGGAGGAGGAGGAGGGGCGGAGGAGGAAGAGGAGGAGGAGGAGAAGGAGGAGGGAGGAGGGGGAGGAGGGAAAAGGGGGAGGAGGAAAAGGAGGAGGAGGAAGATGAGGAGGAGGAGGAGGAGGAGGTGGAGGAGGAGGAGGAGGAGGAGGAGGAGGAGGGGGAGGTCGACAGGCCCACCAGCCGATGAGATGAGAGGCCTTTTCCCGTGTCTGCATGGAGGCGGAGGATGGGCGTTGGATGAGGAGGAGGAGGCAAACCAAAGGAGGGGTAAGTGACTGTAAGTGTGACGAGCAGGTGGACGGGTGAGGATGAGGAAGAGAGTGTCGATGAGGAGGATGGTCAGGAGGATGAGGAGGAGGAGAAGGAGGAGGACGAGAACGAGGATGGGGATGTGGTTGCTGCTGCTGCTGCTGATGATGATGATGATGATGATCATGATGGTGATGGTGGTGGTCGTGCTGCTGTGGCTGATAGTGATGATGATGGTGATGATGCTGGCTCTGCTGATGGCAGCGACCAAGATGATGAGGATGGTGATACTGACGATGCTGATGATGATGATGGCGTTGGTAGTTAGGATGATGCTGATGATGGTTATGCTGATGATGGTGATGATGATAATGCTGATGAGTAGGATGATGATCACGATGATGACGATGACGATGCTGTTGGTGCTGATTGTGATGATGACGTTGGTAGTGAGGATGATGCTGATGATGGTTATGATGATGGTGGTGCTGATGATGATGATGGCAATGCTGATGAGCATGATGATGATGACGATGATGACGATGACGACGCTGATGCTGATGATGATGCTGATGACGACGTTGGTAGTGAGGATGATGCTGATGAGTGATGATGCTGCTGCTGATGCTGATGCTGATGGTGATGACGTTGATAGTGATGCTGCTGCTGGTGATTATGTGATGCTTGTGCTGGTGATGGTGATGCTGATTGTGCTGAGGAGGATGCTGATGCTCATGATGTTTGTTGATGCTGCAGATGATGATGATGATGATGATGATGATGATGATGATGTTGATGATGATGATGATGATGATGCTGATGGTGATGGTGATGGTGATGCTGATCATCATGATGATGAGGTTGCGGATGATGATGGTAATGATGATGAGGATGCGGGTGATGACGATGATGATGATGATACGCTTATGACGATGATGATGGTTATGCAGATGATGAGGCTGATTGTTGTAAGTTTGCGGCCGGTGCAGCTGTTGAGGTTGAGGATGGTGGTGACGGCGATGCTGGTGGCAACGCTGATGCTGACGCTGCGGCCTCGTATGTGAATGATGATCGTCTTGATGGCGACTAGGATGATGATGAGGATGATGACGATGGTGAGGGTAGGGATGATGATGAGGCTGGTGATGATGATGATGACGCTGATGATCATGATGCTGATGATGAGGCTGATGGTCATGATGATGGTTCTGATGGCGATGCTGATGCTGCTGCTGATGATGATGCTGATTGTGATGCTGATGTTCATGTCGCTGCTGATGATGCCTATTTCTGACACTGTTAATGGTGATGATGCTGAAGAGAACGCTGATTCTGATGGTACTGATGATGCTGATGATGCTGATTATGATGACGACAATGGTGCTGCTGATGATGATGGCGATGATGTTGCTGCCGATGATGATGCTGCTGATGATGCGAACGCTGATTTTGACCATGGCATGCTGCTGCTGGTGATGGTAATGCTGCTGGTGACGATGATGCTGATGATGCCGATGATGATACGGACGACGATGTTGCTGATGATGCTGCTGATGATGCTGATGATGACTATGACGACGACGATGATGATGATTGTGATGATGAGGTCGGCAGCGTGATGATGATGATGATGATGCTGATGATGATGATGATGATAATGATGATGATGATGATGATGATGATGATGATGATGATGATGATGTTGACAATGCGGGTGCTGATGATGATGTTGCTGGCGATGTGAATGATACTGACGATGATGACGACGCTAATGCTGAGGATGATTCTGCCGATATTGATCATGGCAGTTATGAGGATGCTGCTGCTGCTGATGATGATACTGATGCTGCTGATCATGCTGCGGATGATGATGTTGATGATTGTGATCTTGATGATGCTGTTGATTATTACGACGGGGATGCTGATGCCGATGATGATGACGATGCTGAGGCTGATGCTGATGATGTTGATGCTGATGATGATGGATGGTGAGGCTGATGATGAGGAGGATGGTGATGATGAGCTTGATGATGATGCTGAGGATTATGATGATGATGATGATGATGCTGATGATGACGATGATGACGATGATGACGATGATGATGCTGCTGCTGGTGGTGGTGATGATGATGCTGCTGATGATGATGATGATGCTGATGATGATGATGATGATGATGATGATGATGATGATGATGATGATGATGATGATGATGTTGAGGTGGAGGAGGAGGAGGAGGAGGAGGAGGAGGAGGGACATGGAGAGCAGGAATAGGATGGGGTCGTATAAGGAAGAGCAGCAGGGAGCGGGGTGGGGAGGGGGAGCAGCCGTGTTTCGGCAGGAGTGGCGCGCGCTCGGGGAGCGCCTCGAGAGGGCCGAGGAGGCGCTGTTCCAGTCGCGCCAGGACGCCCGACTCCCTCGCCCCGGGCGGTAGTACTGCTTCGTGCTGCGCCCCCCTGGCCGATGGCCCCGTGCGGGCCTTTCCGCGGACAGCCGATCCGATCCGATCCCCCCCTCCCTCCCCTCCTCCCCTTCTCGCCCTCTCCCCCTCCCTCCCCTCCTCGCCTTCTCCACCCCCCCCCCTGCCCCTCTCCCCGCCTCTCCTCCAGGAGGGGTCGAGGTGACCACCACAACACAGTACTCTTTCTGAGCTCCGCGCGGCTCGTTTGGATCTGGGCGCGGTCCCCCCTCCTCCGCCGCCGTCTCTGGCGCGCTGAGCGCGCCAGGGAAGGGGCTTCAAGGCCGATCCAATACATCCGCGCGAAGCTCTGCACATGTATATGCGCTTCCGTTGTTGCCTGATTTAAGGAGGGAGGCATATCGAGGGGGGTCGAGAATCGGGGAGGCGGACCGCAGAGAAGAGAAGAGGATTGAGCAGAAGGGGAGGATCGACGAGGATCGAGGAGTGAGGGGGATCGAAGTTCGAGGG